GGGGGTGGGGGGATTAGCCAATACCTGGAACTACCACTTGCCAGGATGTCGAGTTCCGGATGGAGTTTGTTAACAGGGATAATGGTGGCTATGTTGGGATCTACAAGTTCAGCCACAAGCTGCCCTGTGCTTGCATCTGTAGTTCAGTTCACACGTGAAAAGTCGACACAGACAGCCAAGCAAGAAAGAACTTTAATTTAATCAGCCACTAAAATGTAAATGACATGAAAACACTACCAGCCAGAACTGCGTCCATGACCGAGGACAGTTATCTCCGTACAAATACTGTCCAATCATTCCACTCAAGACCTGGACTATACAGAACAAAAAAAAAAAGACCTGCGCTACACAAACTGCCACCCAAGCAAACCTCATCTGAAATTGGAATTCAGCTCATACATGCCGCCAGTTATGATTTCTCCTGTGCGCTGCCGAGTATACATGCCCGCAGAAGTGTTATGATTTCTCCTATCACTACAATGGTATCACTACAATGGTATCACTACAAGCGTATCACTACAATGGTATCACTACAATGGTATACTCGGCAGCGCACACGAGAAATCATAACACTTCTGCGGGCACCGCGGAGATTAAGCATGAACAAAAAATGTGCCCAAAGGTTTGCCTCGTACTGATCCTGTTCCGTTTACCCTTGAGCACTTTTTTTTTTTTGTCTTGGTTTTTTTTTTTTTTTTTTCGCTACATTTCGAAAGCAATTTGTGGCAATCTCTTATCTGCCCTTCTCAGAGAAAGCCAGGTCATAGTGATGTGCCCCTGCCTGTCGATGACATTCGCATCACTTGTGTACCTCAGCGTTCTGGCAAAGATCTACTACAGTCGCTGTTCGGACAGACATACCTTGGATCTAGCTAGTGTGATGAGATATTGCCTATGGAATTATTACAGCCAGGAAATCAAAGTTCTCGGTGGAAATCATCAACTCGATAATAATGTGTTAATAACAGCTCACGCTTTCTTAATGATCTGAGCCGTAACAGCGCCTGCGTGCTCCAGGTGGTCTAACGCAATGGTTGCGTCCACAACACCGCAGGTAATGCCGTAGGTGTGACCATACCCTTAGCGGTGCCCTAGATGAACCAGTGCCGTAGAGTACACTTAGGCAATCAAAACCACAGAGCAGTGAGCACATTCCGTAAAACATGCATGTGAAAACAATAGATAGCAGCAATGAAGCAATCGACGATAACCGAACAACACTCCATGTATTTGGCACGCTGACATTGGAATGAAGCAGTCCTTGGATAGCACAGGCAACATCTGTACTGCCTACCCTTTCACCACCCTTTGGTAGTGGCAAGAGCTCTCTGCTACCTTCCTCCCAAGGGGGAGAAGGGGAAAAGGTAGGCAGTACAGAGGTTGCCTGTGCTATTCAAGGATGCACTGAGAGAACTGTGCTTACCGATGAAATCAATGGGATGAAGAGCCACACCATCAAAGACGTCGCTAATATAACGACCAACGACCGTCAAGCATTCCGAGTGGTCCTGCACCGGACGAAAAGTCGAAAACCATTAAGGACAGATTGTTGAAAAAAAAAAAAAAAAAAAAAAAAAAAAAAAAAACCAACGCCCTCCTGGTGAAATCCACACAATATCCTGATCTCATTTGTCCGAGGTCAACCGGTGTGAGCACAAGGGCCCAGTGCAGAAAGAGAAAGAATCTCATAATTTGACTTCCGAGAAGGCAACAAAGCACTCATAGGGGTGAATGGTGCTGGAACAACTGCTCCGCGCGTGCTACTGTTTAGAACAATGCGACAACAGGATGACTACCAGGATGCAAGAATGCAAGAAAGACGCAGACCTCTAAGAGCAGTGGTTCACTATTATATTGACTTGATTCCAATGGCTGAGAGTTTAGACAAGACCACCCTCTGAATCTTTGACTTTAGCAGTATCCCTTCTGGGATGTCACTTCCACACTCTTATGCCGCACGCCTGTCACGGAGGTGTCAATATAATAGGATATATGCATTGAATCTATTGTCTATTGATGCAGCAGGCGCTACCAGTCCACGGACACACAAGTTAAGCCAATCTCCAGTCTAAGGACGAACCATCCGAGGGTACCGCTCTTTGCTGGTGCCATTTCGTGCGCTGAAGTTTCCCCTGGACTTGTGCCCACCCAAGGGTGTTACTCTGGGTGCTCTAGAGGGAGGGAAGCAGCAAGGTCGCCGAGGACCAGTTAGTTGGGCTTAGAAGGGCATCAGCCTCAGAAGTAGAAACAGCGAGGACAGAGTTAAAATGGACGTTGGAGACTGCCATTGTGGTCATCATGCAGAGAGCTGTACACAGAAAGCTGCAAGTCGACCGACAAAGCAAAGCCAAAATAAATAGTAAAATAGTAAAAATTATTTAAAAATACATGTCAACATGGTCTACATAATGTGTCTCTGTCTGTGACAAGACAGTGCATGGAAGAGTAAAACAGCTGCTCAAGGACATAATTTCTGAGAAAGGAAGGAAAGTATGTGTGCACCTAACGTCCTTTGTGGCATCCATCGACATCCATTGACAATAGAGCGATAGAGAGAAAATTAGCATGGCCCCTGTGCAAGGATGAAACGCATAAATCGAGAAATGGTCCGAATCTTTTTACAAAAACAAAAATAAAAAAACATGCACCTGAGGAAAGTTAAAGTCAATTGGGGGCAGGAAAGACATATGGGGGGAAGGCACCTTATACTTACACAAGGGATGTTCACACAGAAAATGGAATTGCTAGAGGCAGTTGTCCACTGCCCAGTTTGAGCCACAAGTGATGGATTTTTTTTTTTTTTTTTTTTTTTTTTTTTTTTTTTTTGCAATTTGATAATGATTTGTCTCACTCTAGGTTCTTCCATAGTAACCAATGAGACCTAGCTCAGTTGGTACACCCATGAACCGTTGAAATGCAGACCCAAGTTCGAATCCAGATGCAATCACATAAACAAGATTACACAATTCTAAAAAACAAAAAAAAAAGGTTCTTCCATAGTAAAATGGCCCCACTGACGCCGGAGGCGTCGCATATACGCGTAGTATAATAGTATTCCGTATTCAAAAGAATGTATTATCATACCACTATGTAATACTATTATAAAGAAAAACAAAAACTGCGAAGTTGTCATGGCATTTCATCGAACTCACCCGTGGATCCCATTCAGCTCGAAAGTTGGTGATGTGCCGGTTGAAGTCATGACTGTGAACTATTTCTCTGCTTGGCAAACTCAAGTCACCGTATATGTAATCCCAAACTACACAGTTTTCACAAGGAGACGCACCTTGATAAGTTCCACAGAAACCAGAATGGCTTTTGTCATTTTTTACATGCAATGTCACAACAATATCAATAAGCTTTCCTCAGTGAGATTGACCATAAAACTCTGTCTGTCTGTCTGTCTGTCTGTCTGTCTGTCTGTCTGTCTCTCTCTCTCTCTCTCTCTCTCTCTCTCTCTCTCTCTCTCTCTCTCTCTCTCTCTCTCTCTCC